GCTTAGGAATCCTTAGCTCAACTAGTCCATTCAGACTGGAGCTAGACACACTTGGCCTTGAAAAGTACCTGTAACCTACAAAGCTTTCTGAAACAGTGTCCTTGGGAATTGGACTCTTTTTCCAGGATCAAGTCCCTCACCATGGTTGATGAGAGCCATACTCAGAGTCCTAAAGAGAGGAAGGCTTTTTGCTTTCTAAAACGCTCTGTATCTTAATAGGAAAGAGAGAGAAAGAAATGAAAAGCCCCTATGAGAAGCAATGTTTTTAGCCCTGAACTAATAAGTCCAATGAGATGAAAAATCTCGGCAAAGAGGTGTTTATACTATACGTGTCAACACAGCCTTGGGCCCAGACAGGCAAACCGCCGCTCTAATGGGAACTGTGTATACACAGCAAGGGTAATTACGTGGGGCTACAGCTGCCAACATGATTTAGCAAACTCCCTGCCTGCAAAGGACTGATCCTCCCCTGGAGAATGGGCCCAAATTCAGTGCAACTGCACAGACCTACCTGAGCTCCCCCTGCCACAGGCTCTTTGAGGTCTTTTGTAATTTGCATTCCTTAGGCAAATGGAATTTAAATTCCTTAGGCAAATTTCATCCTGATGGAACACCAAGATGACATGCATGCCATGATCTCATTGTTGAGGATTTCTGCTTTATAATCATTAATGTATGCTTCAACAGGCAGATGAGGTAAAGCATTTGGGCCCAATCCCACTTTGCTTTCACGAAAGCTCCTTTCCCTTTCAGTAGCCCTTGCTTTTCAAAGCACCTTCACAAAGATCTCAGGTGTACTTCACGGTCTGCTTGTGTGTCGGGAAGGATGTAATGACATATTGCAGAAAGTCACAGGACCGGGGTTCTGGTGTGGGCTGCAAGTTAAGAAGCCTATAGGTAGATGTTTCCCTTGTACCCCTGCAGCAATGTGAGATCAGAGGGGTTGGGCAGGTTGCAATCAGAGCACAATCTAATTGTTCTGCGTTTGCAGATGGGGGAGGATCTGTCCTCTGTTTCACAGGGAGGCCTTTTACGTTTCAAATTAGATATTCAATTTGCAAACAGAACTATAAGTTCTTTCAAGCATTAACTTGGAGCCAAGCTTTGCCTCATATTTATTTTTTCCTACATAATATCACCTTCAGCATCTCAGTCGTAGGGATGATTTAATTTGAGACCTGGATTAATGTGACTGTTTTGCTATGAACCTTCATTTTCCTAGTTCTTCCCAATTCTGATGCTGGGGCATGTGGATTGGCTGCTATGATGAGAAATTTACCTCCTGATTAGGGAAAGGTCAGCAAATGAGAGATGGTTGAGGCAATGGACCTGGGCTGGAGTCTTGGCTCCTTCCTCCGGCTCTGGGTACCTTAATTGTCACTACCTCTCTAAGGTGTATCCTTATTTTAGAATAATACTTATGCTTCATGGGGTACGTGTGAAGCTTAAATTGTGGAAAGTGGACAGAAATAAAGACCCACGAATGGTGTTATAAAATTCTACACACCTCTATAGCCTGTCTCTCCCTGTACACACACACATAACACACACATACACATACACACACTTAACTAGTGATGTTAGAAAGCACTGATTAGGATCATCTTAATTTTTCTTTAGATTTGACTTTTCAAAAATCTCACCTGTGTTCATCAGCTCTGAAAAACAAAAAAAATCTCTTAAAGAACCATCTGATTTTGTTAGAATTTTCCCAGTTATTCTATCGATAAATTGGTGAGCAAGATGTTTTGAGTATAATAACTACCTTGAGTTTTGTTCCATGAAGATCTTATGCCACCCCTCCTGCGTGCCCAGGAGCCTGTCCTCACAGTCAGTACATGGCGTATCATTTCCGTTCGTGTCTGTGAGCAGGTTTTAGTTCTGTGACGGGAGGGTGAGGACATTTTGCTCACTGCCGTGTCTTCAGTACTGAGTGCAGTGTGAGGCAAACAGTAGGCACTGAATAACTGACTCAAGGAGTGGACAACTGACTCAAGGAGTGGACGAAGTAAATGGGTAGCCTGACAAAGCCAACTGAATCTACAGCGGTTATCTGTAAGTATGTCTCCTCCTTTCTGGTAACCCTCCGCAGCCGGTCAAACAACTAAAGTTGTAGGTATTTCAGGCTTAAGACATGTTTTGAGATTTTTTCTTTTAAGATTTTATTTATTTGAGAGAGAGCACAGAAGCAGGGGGGGTGGGAGAGAGGGACAGGGAGAAGCGGGCTGAGCAAAGAGCCTGACGTGGGGCTTGATCCCAGGACCCTGAGATCATGACCTGAGCAGAAGGCAGATTCTTAACTGACTGAGACACCCAGGCGCCCCATGCTTTATTTTATTTAGCTCTGAGGAAACCAGGTCTGGAGGTAGAGAAGAGGAAAAAAAAAAAAAAAAAAAAAAAAAGCCTTTGGTCTCTGTGTGTCTTTTAAAAATTATTGGGAAGTTTGGTTTTTTCCCCTCTACTATACCCAGGTTGAGTGTTTGTCAAAATAAAACCTCTTCTAAAATGGCATCAGTTTCCAAGAAACAAGACTTATGATTAAAACTCCATCACAAAGAACCCTTAATTTAGAATCAGTGTCGGCAGCCTCTATATACGGCATCCATGTGCCTTCAACCAGCTCAAACTTTCAGATTTGATTAGGTTTAACCATGTCCACTCTCTGCAATCTCAAAATGGGCAGTGATGCACCAAAGCGAGGGCTTACGACAGATGGCATCCCAGGTTCTCTCCCTTCTCAAATAACAGAAGCTGAGTCAACGAGTTCCATTTAGCAAATAATAAATTTATTAGGTGCCTACAAGTACAAAACACTGAAAGCCGCTGTAGGGGATTATAAAGATGTGAAGAGCCCTGCCCTCAAAGAGCTTACAATCTAGGTGATTAGTCACAATTAGTTAAGCCATGGCAATAGCACTCGAGGTGACTTACACAGAGTTCTTGGAACATTCACATCCTTTGAATTCTCCTGTTGTCGTACGTGTAAGGAATCCTTTCTACAGGAAAGTGGACCAGTGGAAAGAGACCTTTTGTGGACTTTAACGGTGACCTTGGCTTTGCTTATGAGCATCTTTCTCTTGCTGGCTCCTTATCCTTGTAACTCTCTCAGCATCGTTTCCTAACGACCTTTGTTAGGAGAGAATCTCCATGCTTCCTGAACCTTCACCAGGGTTTCCTGTTTGTTAGTGAGTGGCTCAGTGGCAGTTTGGCCTTGGAATGATTTGCAGTCCGATTTCTCCTTCAGCAAATCTGATTTGCATTTTAGTTGATGCCAGAATGATACGCTTTGCAATCTGTGGTTTTTAAGGGTAAGAGTGAGATGTAATAGACAGGAAAGCAGGCCAGACCTTTCCCTTACTTTAAACATTTAATAGTGCACTTGCGGATTATATTCTGTACAGATATAGAGCAAGTTATAAACCTCTTATTTTATTTTTTCTTTCACTTAGATTGTATTCATGTAAAGTGTATTTACATTAGGAAAAAAAAAAAAAAGCCTTGAGGTACAAAACCCAAAAGAATATCTGAGGTATAAATACAAGTATATTTTAAATAATAATTTTTATCATGCTTTATCTATGTTTGAAAGCACAGTGGACATGTGTACATGTTTCTTTATCTTAATAGAATGGTATATACAACATATAATCTTACAAATCTGAAAGCTATTAAAATTGAATATACAAGTATATCTTCATGAGGAACACTGATATCCAAAATACTCAAATTTTAAAACTCTAATCTCCCCCCACAGCAAATTCTTCAAAGAACCTTTGAAATAACACTGACAATGGTAACTAAATTATAACAAAATAAAAATCCTTCTTACAACTCTCATTCATACATTATTCACTTTTGATCCATACAAAATAAACTCACTAATACTGTCTCATGAGTCAATCTTTACGGTTACAGTAAAGCCTGAACAAAGACCACCCACCCTTCCAAAAAACTGTGCTGGTGCTTTTTCAGTTTTTTTTCCCCTGTGATAACCATCTTCCTTTACTGCTAAAAAGATAGTCCAAGGGCATCATTATAAAGGAAAAGAAAAAGAAATGTAGGGAAAACAAAGCAAAAAAAAAAAAAAGTTGCAAAACCAGAAAAACTATTTGCTGAAAAGGACAAATCCAACAACTAAATATGTGCAGCTTTCAGAAATGCCGTGACTAACAACAATCAGCACCTGTTGTTAAATTTTAATACCGTGGGTTAAATTTACAGGGATTTCCTTGGGACATACATAGTTTCTGATGTTTTCGGTGTGTCTTCAAGACTTTTGGTTATAAACAAGAAAATGCAAAGCAGTCCAACAGGTAAAAGGTTCTGAGGCTTGATTCAGGAGTAGATGTTAGGGTGTTCAGTCATTATATCTTGACTTACAAAACAAAAACACAAACACCCCCAAATAAAACTGTGCTTTGGAGCTAGTAAGGGCAGGGGGTGGAGGGAGTAGTTTCTTCCCTGAACTAATCTATACTGGTTAAAAACTATATCACTATTTGCACTCGGGTCTAAAGACAACTGTGTTTGAGAAGGGACACTGGGATCAATCGACTACAATTACTTTTAAGGAAAGAGGAGAGGTTGGTAAAAAAGGAATGTGCTTAATAACTTGGAAAAAGAAATAAGCGACCAAGGGTGTTGGGTCCCCTTTCTGGATGGGTCCATGGGCAGTCAGATAATCTCAGGTTAACCTGAACCTGACGCATCAAAATCCTTCTTGAAGGCGTCCCAGTGTGCCAGACACTGTGTTCCAACGTACACATCTCTGCCATTCAACCAGCAACAAACACACATACACACATTCCTCTGTGCAAACCTTTCTTTGCTCATCTCAGTGAGAAACAGGTCAAAGAGTACCAACTATTCCAGTGGATACACCGGTCCCCCAACACACTGCAGATACAATGACATAGGTACACATACACCAGGATCACAAGAGAATGAAGTCTCTTCATTATTTTCTGTAAGGTATTTATAGTTTTGCTTCTCAGAAGCAACTTGAATAAGAATACTTTTTTTTTCTTTCGCACAGTCTTATATATTCCAGGCAAGGTCTATAATCTAGACCTTCAACAAACAGGAAGCAGCTTTAAAAATGTCTTAAAATCGCTACAGTTGATCCCCACGCTCCAACTTCTAGTTTTCTTAGTTTCAGGACTAGACTCAGAACCCATTCTTCCAAGGACCGGCAAAGGGCTTCCAGAAACAAACGTCCGGACGGTGGACATGGCCGCTCGGCTTCAGTAATCACCTAGATTTGGGGTCTTTGGTTTCAGTGTTCTGATTGCTGAAAGAGTCTCGGATCTTCACGACTTCAGCTGCACACAAATGTCCAAAAGATTTTGTGTACCACTCTGGCATGTGGCCCCTGCAACGGAAAGGAAAAGCAGATGGGTTCTTCACACTGGAAAGCCCCCAAAGAAGCCAGACGGAGCTCTGAGTACACTTCCATGTCTTGATCCAGAAGCCACGTAAGCAAGGATTACTGCTAGTACTCCACGGTAACCTCCTGGCATAGCCATTACACTTCTGGAACCAGAAGTTTCTCAAGAAACAACACACTGAGTACAGACACTGAGTGACATTGTTCAGGGAAAGCTTTAGCATACAGAACAAAAACAGATCACACAGACGGTTGAAAAAGTACCGAAAGGTAAAGACAGCAAATGAGAATTTAACCACTGTGGAAAGTTTTGAGAGGTTCACGTTCTGGCTGTATTGCTGAATTTCATTGAGTTTTCTGATATGAACACACATTCATCATTGGTACCCGGTATAGGCCCGACTAATGGCTGAAACATACTATATATATTCAGATATATTCATATTTTCAAATACCTTTGAATATAAAATGAGAATCATCTGCTGGCCAGTTCCAGCTCTCATCTCCTATGGCTTTAAGTGCATGGCAGAAGCAGCGTATTACCACCTTCTCTAAGGGATCGAAATCAGGAAGTGGTTCCCCAAAGACCAAGAAACAGGAAGGTGTTACTTTATAAAAACTGCTCTTTAGGGAGTAGACAACATACAACGATGTGTTCGTTTAAGCCATTCTCTGTAGCAGACAAAAAGTCTCATCTTCCTCATGACCCTCACCATGTCACAAAAATCAGAATCAGAACATACCTTAAGTCGGCTCTGCACATGTAGGTGAGTTTGGATTTCCCCGACCCGCAGGGTTCGATCAGATACCAGGAGAGAAGCACATTGACTCTCACCCCCACCACGGGGGCCCGGTCATGATCCACGGAGGTGAGTAAAAGGGCACATGCCCCCTTCGGTAAATTAGTCCTCCATGTTCTGTAGAGACAAAACCAGAGGGGAAAAAAAAGATGGAATCGTCAGGAAGCCAAGTTGAAAATGGGCCCCACTGTCAAAAGAGACAGCTAAGGGGCAGGATCAGTTCCTATGCTGTGTGACCCAGTCCTGGATGGATGGCATCCTCTGAACTATTGTGCAACGGGCTCTCGAGTGAGTAACTCCGTACAGAGCCGCTACGGTGCATATATATTCACACATCAGCTCTTTGGAAGAGAACCAATATGAAGTGTGACTGAAAACCATTTTTACATTTCACAAATGTATGAGCACATGGACATCCAAACGAGCACTACTGCTCTGCTGGAAAGCTCTGGACTAATGATGTGCCATTTCCTCAAAGATTTTTGGAATTCCTCGTTCGATAATGTCTCCAGAGAATTTATGAATTACATATAATTCAGCTTTAACCACAGCTCACTTGGGACTTAAAAGTTATTTCCTGGCTTATGCATTCACTTGCTGTTTCTAGTGAGAAAAATCTATCCTAGAAGGGGCAAGAAACTGCTACCAATGAGCATATTCAATTGAATGTGCCTCTATTTATTTATTGTATTTTTAAATATTTTTAAAGATTTATTTATTTGAGAGACAGTGAGAGAGCATGAGCAGGTAGAGGAAAAAGCAGACTCCACACTGAGCGCAGAGCCTGATGCAGGGCTTGATCTCACAACCCGCAGATCACAACCTGGGCCAAAATCAAGAGTTGAATGCTTAACCAACGGAGCCACCCAGGCGCCCCAAATGTGCTTCTATTTCTGAGTTCAATTCCAAAAGCGTTCAAACTATTTTCAGGATGAACACACTGCTGGAATACGTACAGACACATTTTCCGTAACTGGAAGGGTTCAACGCTATTTCAGAGGCATACCTTCTACTTTACATAATTTTACCATCTCATCACATTGACACCAGGCACATCCTTACTACAGGGATCCATTTGGAAGCTCTCACCTCAAAACAACGTAGTCCCGGGCAGGGTGGGGCGCCATACTGTTTTGGACATACTGGTAAATTTCAGTTTGGCTGTCCAGGATTTCAATCACTTTGGAATCCAAAAGGTCTACGTCCCAGAGGTGCTGTTCTTTGAGGAGGCGCTTTAAGATTTCCTCAGGCATGGCAGGGACTTCGATGGTGGACCGCCAAAGCCTTAGGGGAGGTCCTTCGCTCACCTGAAAAGAGGATGTATTTTTCAGTGCTAGGACCATTCACACACCCCTACACTTTGAAGGCCAATTGCCAGTTGTATGTACAGTCATGTGTTTGGAGGCTAATTATTATCTATATGTTGGTATCCCCAAGTATATTCAAGAGCAGGCCAGAAAACCTGGCCTTTGGCCAATTTTCTGATCAAAATTATTAACATTTGTTTTCCTGGGACTCATATGAGGGTCAATGCAATAAAAATCAGATCATTCATCTGCATCCTAACACCTGCATGGCCATCCAGATGCTGTCACTGTTTATTTCTTTTCAAGGTGGTAGAGACGGGATCAAGAAATACTATCACGGGCCTATCATGCTAAGCCATACAAGACGTCCCTGCCCTCAAGGGGCTTTTAGTCCTAACAAGTTAATTTCTCCCCCAAGTAATCCCCACTCATTAAAGGGCCAAGAGAAGAGTGGCTGAGAACAGAGGAGCGTGCAGGGAGATTCTGATCAAATTATGGAAATATCTAAGCATGTCATAGAATGCCCTAAAGCCCAATACCTATTGCCCCAAGGAACTGTACTGTGATTCTGTGGAACCAAAGGATTTCAGTAAATGGTCCGATTCCTCCAACAAGCGTGAGTTGACTATGATTCCTTTCTGACCTGGCTTCCACTCTTCCCCAGGGAACTGAATCACCTGGCTGGCCAGGTCTACAAGGAAGGGAATGGGTGACAGATGCCCATGGAGAGCTGAGCTGGCCACAGGGTCTCACCTCTGATGAACCTGAACCCTGACCGCAGAAACTCAACCAGATGACAACAGGGCCAAGCCTTACCTTCTTATAGGACAGCTCGGCCTGCTCAGACGTGGAGTAGCTGACCCAGCCTTTAAACTTCTCCTTGACCTCTTTAAACAGGCTATCCACACAGTCCTGGAGGAAGTGCTGGTAGTCAGCCGACTCGTCATGATGCAGGCGCCCCAATGCTTCTAGAGTGAGGGGCTTCAGCTCCTGTTCTGTGTAGGAATTCCGACATCGACTCATTTCCTCAGGAACCTGTAGGGGACGCGAGAGGCCAAAAGGAGGTGAGTGTGCCTGTATTTGTTCCTGATGCCCATCAGGGGAAGGGGCGGTGCAGTGGCAACACACTGGGCTCTCGGGGCGGTGCGGGCACCCCAACCGCTCCGTTTCCCTGCACACTGAGGGCTGGGCCTGCTGACCTCCCAAGGTATCGTGAGGACACAAACACATCACCTTCATAAACGTATCTAAAAAGCCTATTCCCATGTAAGGGGTTCTTCTGCTTTGGAAAGTCACAGGAGGGTAAATGACGAATATGGGGCTTAAGTACATGAGGACAGGCTTCTCAGATCCAGAATTTATTTCAGATCACTGGTTGCTTTTGCTTTTGAAGTCAAGGGGTATGGCGCTAGGCAAATTTCATTCAACACATTAACTCTAATGAGCTTATACATTATAAAATAAATAAGATGTTCTTAGAAAAGGAAAAAAATAAAGACATTCTTGAGCTATGTATATAATCTCCGGCTGGGGAAAGATCTTTTGGTAAGATGTGAACAAACTCGGTGCCTAAGATTTTGTCTTCATGATTTATGTAATCCTCAACAAATTAACAAAGCTCCCCAACTCCTTACCTGGAAAAGCTTCTTGCACTCAGCAATCATATGGGCCAGACCCTGAGTGGCAGCGAGGTTTTCATTCAAATCTTTCTGATCTGGTTTGCCCAAACTTTGTTTTCTTTGCATTACCCTAGGCAGAAGAAATAAGGGACGGGGGAGATTCAAATATTTACGTGTGTTTAATTGATGTGTTATTCTAGGAAACCCAAAGGAGAAAAAAAAAAACCATTTTACCAGAGCCTATGTTACCAAGAGGTTCGGGAGAGCTTTACTTTGGTCACTAAAATTCCTCAGTTTTATCAGCAAAGCACAAAAACATGAAAGGGACTGTTTTCAGTGAGATCTAGGCTGTCTAAAGCTATCACGTTAAACAGGTTCCTATTTAAATAGGGCAGCTTGGAAGGTCTACGGCTGTTGGTGGGGAGACAGAAGGCAGCTTCAAGGGGTGCGAGGAGAGGAGGCACTGCACGTCGCAGTAAACGGTGTCACTCTTCTTTACAGTTTAAATAAATAAAATCCCCTCCTGAAGGCGAGGGGACCATCTATTGTTTCCTAGAGGTTTCTCTTAATCTTATCTGATCTCTCTCTTCTGCTCATCTCTTGTTCCCTATCCTATTGAAGATGGAATGCCTCAGTTCACGTGAGAACTAGATAAAAAGATATGTTAAGTATTGTATGGCTTTCAGAAGCAAAGCTGACTTCACCTAGCACAACCAGGCTTCAGGCCTGGAGCGAAGGAGTCTCTGTCCAGTACCTGCAGAGCTGAGGAAAAGGATCATCAGCTGGATGGGTTCGACGTAGGGGGTTAAGTCCCATTAGTGCCTCCTTTCTTACCTACTCCACTGTGAGGCCCTTACGGGAAACATTCACAGCAGTAAGAAGCTCCAACTGGCTCGGTCATCTCCCGTCAGATGTGGGCAAGTTACTTATTACACTGACCCTCCCTGCAGTCTCACCTCCCTGCCAGGATCTTCACCTCCTATGACTGTTCCCAGGATTAAATGAGAGAATGAATGTCAAGGGTGTAGTCCCGTGGTTGGGTCAGAATCAGTGCTGAGCAAATATCAGCCTTTGATATTTTCCAGATCCTCTGACTTCTTCTTCATCCACTCCCAGCTTATATACGTCCAAGGAGAAGCTTTGCACACAATGGGCTTAGGCCAGGTCCTGGCTTTGAGGCTCAGCGTTATCCTTAGTTCTTTTAGAGCCAGCTAACTACCTTACAACTTCCAGCCCAGGCTGGGGGCTTGGCTTTCTTGACCCTGCAGAAGCCAGGGCATCGAGGATCTTACTTCCATCCAGTTTTTCAGGTGAGTAAATCTGCACGATTTTTTGCTGGCAGAAAGTGTGACGGCAAGGTCACAGAGGGTGCCGGGGAGGATCAGGGCAAACATTTGCCACGGCAAAGCACATACCCAAATCTCTCAAAACCTGATTGCCACTAGATTGTCTAGAAAGTCACAGCCCCAAGGCTGAGAAGAAAGGAGGGAAGTGTGGGGGCTGTGAAGGAAGGAGGCAAACTCTGCTTGACTCAGGTGTGAATCCAAGAAACCCAGGGGGCCAACCGAGAAGGAAAGGTAGGCTGCCCCGGTCTGAAGAACAGAGCATGTGTGTGCACATCTCCTCGGACCCGTACCTTGGAGAAGAATTCTCTCTCTTCAGGGTGTTGAGGTGGAAAAGGGAAGGCGCTAAGCACACAGCCAGGTTGGTGGGAGTCATCTGGTTTTCTTTTACAGCTGCTGTGACATCGCTCAAGAAGTAAAGAAGGGTCTGTAGGACCTCCCGGTTCTCATCAGGCAGGAGCATAATGGCGGCCTTGATAGCCTGGAGGCGCTGGTCCTTGGGCACACCTGTGCAACACCAGCATTTCCCCCGTCAGCTCAGTGCTTTTCCACGCACATCGCAAGCAAACGTCCCAAAGCAAATACCAGCCCCAATGACCTCAGCCCAGTACTGAACAAGCACTTGCAGAAAGTGTACTTGAGGTTAATATGGAAGAAATTAGGGACCGCCACCAGCGTCACTACCCTCAAGTATTTCCTGCCTGTGGAGGAGTTAAAAATTTTTCGACACCCACAATGCCAATATCCTCCTAAATCCACCTCGGAGTTCAACTCCAGATATGATGCCTGTTCTTTTGGTTTACGGAATTAGTTTTTCTTTCCTAAGTATTTTTTTTTCTTAGAAATTCCTAGTTTACCATTCTCGATTACTGAAAACACACACATTTATACTTTGGTTTAGTCTCAGTGAAAAATCGTATCTCAGATATGTACAAAGGGATAAAAACTTTCTCAGCTTTTACACAAAATGTTCATTATCTCTGGGGACTTTCCATAATTATAACTGATCTGCTCATTCGTAAGATGCGGAAAGGAAGCTGCTAAAATACTTCAGTTGAAACAACAGCTATTTTTACTAGTAATTTCCTTAAGTTTTGGAAAGCATACTGAGAGACGATTATAAAAATATATGCTTAAGAAACAAGCCAGTAAAATAATAGACATGTAGAAAATGCTGGGCCCAACCTTCAGGTCTCCTTTACTAGGCAAATCTGTCTTTTAAGAGGCATGTGGTGGAAAAATCAAGTCACTCAAGTGCAGTTCCATAGGACAAACTGATTAAAACAGCTCCATGGTTACAATACATAACAAATACCTTGGTGGGGAAAATGTGACCTGTGTTTTCATAAAATCTGAAAGGATGAAACAAATAATGAAATAATCCAGACCAGCTCCATTTCTCATAAAAAATAAAGTCCAACGCGCTGGTTTAAAGACAATTCGAGCACGAAGAGAGAAGCTGCTTTTATATTACATTGCTGTAACACCACACTGAGCCAAGAAAAACACGGGGCTGTAAATGCTATAATCCTGATCTTGATCATTAATTTAGACAACTGTTTGCTTTAAGCTTTACTTAAAAGTGAGAAGGGCATGGTATTGTTTTCCCAAGTATTTCTGGCAGACGCTGAGATGAATAACAGAAAAAGATTATTTATTCATTTTACAGCAAGATAAAACACACAGACACCTGTGAAGTTTTAAACCCAACAGGCCCTGTTGGAGAGCTGCGCATCAACAGAAATATCTTGGTACCTGCTCTTCTGTAAGCATCTCAGATAACACTGTTCTAGAAGCGAATGAAAGCATGAGCTCCTGGATCAGAATGTAAGAATGTGGGGAGCACCTGGGTGGCTCAGTGGGTTAAGAGCCCTCCTCTTGATTTTGGCTCAGGCCATGATCTCAGGGTCGTGAGACTGAGTCCGGCATCAGGCTCTGTGCTTGGCGTGGAACCTCCTTAAGTTTCTCTCTTTCTCTCTCCCTCTGCCCCAACCTCCCCCAAAAGAATGAAAGAATGTGTAACTGCTCCAGTAATGAGAGAACGATGATAAGGGAAATTTATTTTTGCATTATTCAACAGGTATACAGAAACCTGTTCCACAAACAAGGAGAAAAGGAATAAACTGATGACACATACTTCCAAGAGGTCATCGTGTGGGTTCCAGAGAATGGCAAGACAGGAAGCCATAGGTTTCAGCCGGTCCCACTTTTCCCCAAGGCCAACAACGTGGAAATCAAAGAATACTTACACTGATAGATCTGTAGAAAGGTTTCTGAGAGCTTGTTCGTCATTAGTGGCTCAGGAAGGTCTCGAAAATACTGCTTCAGCATGTCTGCCACATCATAAGCAGACTGCCCCTCATAGCTGACACAATCTATGGCACTTTCATTCATCTGGCGCAGAGCCTGGATCCGGGATTTGACACCGGATTTTCTGAAAAGCCCCACCTGTTGGAAGAAAAACATGACATGTCCGGATAGAGGCAACATTTCCACTACAGAATCATAAAAGGAAGCTTGAGTCCGAGGCCCCACGATTCCACGGGACCTGTGCACAGCAGTCCTCACCTGATCCAAACAGTGGTTGCGGAGGTAGCGCATGGCCTGCTGGATGCTCTGGGGCAGGGGCTGTCCCGTGCGCTGCACATTGACCGTCAGAGGGACCCCGAACACATTCCGGTCCTTGTAGTCTGGGACCTTGATCCTTTTCATGAACTTGGGCACAGCCCTATTTAAAGAACAGTAGTAGGGGTGGGGAGAGATGTTTATTTGTCTGTATACTCTTACCCATCTTTGCAGGTAAACCCCGTGGGCTTTAGAGCTGTGCTAATAAGGTGGCTATTTAAATAAAATTACAGATTTAGTTCCTCGGTCATATTAGCCACAGGTTCAGGTGCTCACGAGCCATCTGTGGCCAGGAGCTACCAGATGAGCAAATACAGAACGTTTCCACTGTCACAGTTCTGTGGGACAGGACTATTCTGGATCTTCCAAGAGCTGGGGGCTATGAGACCCAGGAACATCTTCTCTGTTGGGGATTCTCCTTCCACTATTAACTCTGAGAACTGGGTCTATATTCTTAAGGGAGCCGATGGGCTTCCTTACAAAATGGCAGCATAGGAAGGAATAAGAAACAGAAAACATTCAAGACCCGAATGAGGCGCTTCACGACAGAATTTGAAAAACATGTTCCCGTTTGTCCTGTAAATGGACAAGAATCATTTCTAAGTTTCTGATGAGTTTCAAAGCATTTAAGGTATAAAAGGATCATGTAATGCTGGATGAGAAAAGAGCAAATACGTGGTGTTGGTCCAACATAATGAGAACCAACTCCAGAGCTCAACAATGGGGGCCAAGCTAATGACCCGAAGTCAAAATAAATCCTCCTGCTGATGACCCCGGAGTGTACCACATCTTCAGGTTTCTAAAGGAAGATGGAAAAGAACAATGAAGGTTTTGTGAGCCTACGCCAGGCTCCCCGGAGTCCTAAAACCAGGTCCAGCCCCAGCAGTACATGGAACAGCAGGAAACCGATGTCACGCATTTAATGCTGTCAAGCAGAAACTTCAGCTCTAAAAGTGACCTCTCTAAATGGGACAAGAAAGGGCACGGCCGAACAGGAAAAGAATTTTGTGCAGAATTTCTCCTTATTCCATGGATCCCACAATGCAAGGCTTTTACATTTGGTTTTGACTCACTGGAAAAACTGACCAGAGCTCAAGAAGTATTACGGACTCTCAGATTCTTGAGGGTTTGGTGGGAAGGGGGTGGACAACTCAGAAACGAGAATGTAAAATATGTACTTTTAAATAGCCAGCAGGGAAAACAGGGCTCTAAGCACCGAGGAACACTGCAGAAGACAGGCTGCTTTGACTTCTGAGGGCTTCCCAGCAGCCACGACACGTTACTGTTTATAGCCCTACAAAAGGTAAAACGAAAGTGCAGAGCCAAATTTGTATTTCCATACAGTTAAGTATATGGTATCATGGCTATAAGTGTGTATAATACTCGCTTTGTCGGGGCGGGGGGGAAAGCCCAGCAGCGGAATGTGCAAAGAACACATTACGATCTCCACCGAGAATCTGAAGCATGTGGGGATAAACTGGTCAATACTTATTTCTGTCATTCAGAACAAACAACTTCTGTATTTAGCGAGGCTCACATAATAACAGCCTTTGAACGGGAGGTGCTTTGATGCTGAAGTTAAACTCACTCCGAGTCCTGAGGACAGGAGGACCTGGGGAGAGAAGGGACCCTTACGCTGCTTTGCCGACTCTCCCAGGCCCCTCTGGTCGCTGCTAAGGGAAATGGGCTGCTTCTCTGTTTTTATAAAAAGAGGAGGTTGTGCAACTGGGATGATAAACACTCAGATGAGTGAAAAGGCTTAAGGATACCCAGCTGACACAGTGAAATGTACTTGGATGTCAATCTGGAGGTAGGTCTCTGCTTTGCACTGACAGCAGAGAAATTAAGGTATGCACGCATTAGGTCCCATCCATGACCCATGCAGCCTGACAGTCTCCAGCTCATGTTGCACACGCCAAGGGCTGTATTCTTGAAAGTAATTATGAACAGTTCAACCGATGAATTGTACCTTCATGTATATTTTAGCCTATAATATAGTCTTAGAGCAGTGAATTCTTTGGGTTTGTTATTCACTGTTCAAGAGTCTCTTTTAGAAAAAAACAAAACTTGAATTTTTTTAGCACAGGTAGATTTTTGAGTGATGCTTCAAATATTTACATCAGAAACGATTTCTAAAAACATACACGAAGAGGGTTATAAGGCCAGGTGCCATACGTCAAACATTTCAAAGTTGGTCTCAACATCCTATGATAAGAACAAAATTTTTCTTTCCTTCTTCCCATAAGTATGATCTGATACTATACATATATTTACCTATGGGGGAGCTATTTCTTTTTTCTCTTAAGATTTATTTATTTGGCGGGGGCAGAGGGGGAGAGAGAGAGAGAGAGAGAATCCTCAAGCAGACTCCCTGCTGATTGCAGAGCCCGACGAGGGGCTGGATCTCACAACCCTGAGATCATGACCTGAGCCGAAATCAAGAGTCGGATGCTAAACCGACTGAGCCACCCAGGCGCCCCTGGTGGGCTCTGCCTAACACTGGGAAGGAGGCACCTATACAGTGTGATGGAGCAGCACTGCATTCTCACCCCAGCAACCGGCGATTTGTCAACCTGAGAGCTGAAACTCACTCAAGCAATCCCGCCGCTTATTCCCTAAAGTGAGACTGGCTTGAGCAGTATCAAATACGGCCTCAAGAATGCAGAGATTACATTAGGATGATAGTATAAAGCTATTAATAAAGGATAGAACTGCTACACACTCAGTGTTGGGACAGCTTCAAGGAACTGACCAAAAACTTTTCCAATTAGTTTACTGAGCACAGTTAACCCTTACCAGCTAAAGCCATGCTTATTAGAAGGTGTGTATTTCTCCAGCAGAGCGGTTAACTTTAGGAGCGAGTATTTCTGCAGCAGGTTCATCTGGGCCACCGACTGGCAGTTAATCTGCAGTGATACAGAGTTTAAGCTCGGCCGATGGGAGCTCTGGAAACTGTGCCATCTCAGCCTGTGCCTGTGGGAGAAGAGCAGGGGAGGGGGTGAGTACAGGGCTCTTTAACAGGTAGATCCGAAATCAGCAGCGGCTGCACCCTGCTGTCTTATCTCAGGAACAGAGAGGATTCAACTTCCATCCCATTCTTTTCCTTCCCCGGCTGTGGTAACATACACACGACATAAAGGACCATCTTAACCACTGCTAAGTGTACAGCTCAGAGGCCTTAAATACCTTCTCACTGTTGTACAACCATCACCCCCAATCACCCCCAAGACTTACTTCCTCTTCCCAAACCGAAACTCCGGACCCGCTGAACAGTGTCCGTGCGTTTTGGACGTGCGGAGCGCCTGGTCTGTCACTTTTCTTGGGAGCCCACACGACTACGAATGCCACACCTGACCCTATCTCCCCCCTCCGGCCCCCCACGAGAGCGGAAGCAGTCCCTTCCCGAGCCTCCCCTCCCCCATCTCCGGAGGGAAGCAAGGCTCTCACCTATTGGACCTGGTCAGGGAGGCCCCCACCCCAGAATCCCTCCTTTCCGGGATGTCCGAGGGCTCTTCGGGTTCATTCAGGGAGTTGCCCGTACTGTCCAGGTCACTGGGGGTGGCTCGGTCGTTGTCCACATCCAGGTGTATCTGTTTGGGAGAGCTCGGGCACGGAGAGACCGAGTCCAGGGCTGAGTCAGAGTCTCCCTCATCCGAAAACTTCTCTGACCACTGGTTGACGATCCTCTGCATCCCTTTCACATGGTAGAGGATGTCATCCAGCTCGGGGAAGATGTCCTCGTTCTCCAGGTCGGCCAGGTCCCCTGAACTGGAATAGAGGATGGAGCCCGGCACGTTGTCATAGACACTCAGGCGGCTGCTCATGGAGCTGGAGGAATTGCGTCTCTTAAGCTCCTTGGGGCTGTCGCTGCTGTTTTCCCTCCTCAGGCTGATGTGGCCGGGGCCGTGGAAGCTTCCAGTCCTCCAGTTCACGGAGCTGTTACTCCCTGAGGGAGAGAAACTGCCATTGGAGAGGGCCTTGGGGAAAGTGCCAGGCTTATGATCTTCCGGGATGTAGAACACGGCGTCCTCCCGGTAGCTCTCGCGGTTCTTGAAGTTCTGCTCCGTAACGCTGCTGAACGTGGACTGACTGAACGGATCAAAGCCCTCCAGGTACATGCCCACCCGCTTGTTGCAGGCGCTGAGGCTCCGGGTCCTGGTGACCGGGCTGGGCGTGCTCACGGCGCTGCTGGTCTCCGACTGGCTACTGCTGCTGCTGGTCTGCGTGGAGTTGGAGACGCTCCGCTTCCGCACGGCCGGCACGTTGATGTGGTTGCCGTTGAGCGCGGAGATCTCCACGCAGTTCAGCTGCTTCAGCTTCTCCTCGTCCAGCCCCTCCCGCAGAATGGGCCCGCTGATGATCAGCCCCAGCTTGGAAGGCGCCTTGTGCTTGCCGTGGTGCGAGCCCTTGAGCTTCAAGCTCTCCATGCGTTTCAGCAGGCTGCGCGTCTTGGACTTGGCGTTCTTCTCGGGGCCCTTCAGGCTGAAGCCGAAGCCGGACAGTTCCTTGGGAGAGGGCAGGCTGCAGAACGAGTCATCGTTGCCTCCGAAGTTGCCGGAGGAGCAGACGCTGAGGACCGAGTTGGTCCGGGGCGTCGCGGCGTCCCCGGCGTGGGGCGCGTGCGCGGGGAGGCTGCCCGTGCTGCTGAGGCTGAGGACGGAAGCCACCTCCTGGCGCTCGCTGAGCTCCGTCAGCATGCTCTCGTGGCTCGCCGCGTTCTTCAGGTGGGTGTCGTCGGGGGCCCCGGGGGCTGGGTCCTGCTTAGAGGAAAAGACATCAAACTCTTCCAGCCGGGACCACCTCTTGCTGTCCCTCTGGAAAGTCCATTTGCCGCTGATTGCACAAGGCTCATCCTCGTCCGAATCCTCACTCTGCAAGCACAGAATGGAGGCATTCGTCACTGGGACCGGGCGGACAGCAGGGAGCAGGACGCGAGCTCGTAATACGCCATCGGCGTCGAGTCCCCCTTTATATCTCTATTGTGTCATGTATGAGCATTTGATTTGATGATGACGATTTTATTATTATTTTTTACATTACAAAGATGTACACCTCAGGACTTTAACAGGAAAAAGCCTGACCGAGTGTTTCTGGCTAAATAAGAGTTATTTGGTAGAAACTGTTGGATCTATAGGCTGTTCTTTAATTGCTCACAGAGGAAACCTCTTGAGATCTGTGAAAATTCCAGGCATGCAAAATATTTTGAACTGGAGTCAGCAACGGGTAGGACTCCCTCTGGTCTGCCTCCAGTTTTGCTGCCTGTTGATAGCATGTGTTTATATTCTCTTTTGCCATTAAAAAAGGTAGTTTTCAAACCCTAAGAAGAACGGTAACTGTAATCTGTAGCCACCCTAAAAGTGTACATCTCCTAACAGACCAATGGCGACACCAAGCAAGGTAATAAGCCCCCACAATTTTTCAGTCTGATACTTTTCCGTTTCTTACCTGTTCTTTTTCATCCCCTCCCCCGCCAGACACGGGGTGGGGGAGCTAATGCCACACATGTCCTGTGAAGTTTCAACCTCAGACATGCTCCAGGCCATTTAACAAGGCTTCACAAATACCCAGTCCTGACAGCATGGAACATTCAAAAACGTGAAGTAACATCTTTGCTGACCTTGCTTGATTTATGGGCAGGACTCAGGGTTATGCCGCGTCACAAACTACTGCATCTGAGCCTTCTAGGCGGGATATCAAAAGGCACCGTTCAGTCTGATGCAGGTCTTTCCCACTGGTGTGGAAAATATCACATGACCCACATGTCAGAGGACAATGAGTAGACAGCATTAAAGCTGACTTGGAGACTCCTCTCCACAGCTCAGTGGGTGCTGAGGTTCCAGTTCATTTGTTTAAAAGGTTTAACTCCCCCCAAGAAGGTAGCCTGTTGCAAGTCAGGGACTCTAGGATAATTAAAATTTGTACACTGAACAGTCAGAAATATGTTCTTTGACCAAACTTATTCCTGTTTACTCTAATTTGTGACAATTACTCCCAGGACTACACCCACCTCTTCTCCTAAGATCTCATAAAAGGTCCTCACATTTCATACACAGAAGTTATGTACCACCATTTGACTAGAATGTGTGGGATTTCCTGCCCTTCCCTCCGTCTCCCCCAGCTCTTTTCCTCCCTCCCTCCAGTCTCTCATTATTCCTCAGTACCCCACAAGCCAGCCTTCTCTTCCATCCCTGCAGCAGCTCTGAAACACGGTTACTGTTACGTGTGGGGTGAGTCCCCAGAGAACTTTAGCTTTAGTTTCTGAAGGGAATAATGGAGGATTCACTGGGATTGCCTAAGCCTCATTCCTTTAATCTGTAGTAGGCATTGAGTTAACAAGGCAAAATAATAGATGATTTGTTCCAATCAAAAACAGTTGGAAAAAACCCCTCATAGATACTGAGAACAGACTGGTGGTTGCCAGAGGCAGGGGTCAAAAGGTACAAACTTCCAGTTATAAAATAAGTAAGTTTTGGGGATGTGATGCACAGCATGGTGACTATAATTCATAATACTGTACTGTATATTTGAAAATTGCTAAGATCTTAAAAATTCTCATCACAACAAAAAAATGTTATAACTGTGTGGTGATGGATGTTAACGAGACTTATTGTGGTGATCACATTGTAATATATATAAATATTGAATCTCTATGTTGTATACCTGAAACTAATATTATGTGTCAATTTTATCTCAATTAAAAAAAAAAACAGTGGGAAAACCTCAATTTATTGGCTAGCTACAACTACTGGTTTCGGTTACATAAGGCTACTTGATCTTTGGTAAACCTGACTGGATTATAACATTAAAAATGTAGATTTTGGGAACAAGGAAGTGATAAGAGTTTGAGAGACAAAACCTCTTACAAAACACATAATCCAGTTTTTGGTCTGTCTCCTTTCCTCCCATCCTATTATACATTTTATATACTCACTCTCTTCCGATGAGGACTAATTTCCAGCTTCATCACCGCACACTTGTTTAAAGTATTTAGACGCCTACAGGGCAAAGAAATAGTATTAGCAAAGATAGGAAACCACTGATGGGTAGATACATATTTTTTTTTCCAACAGGTGACATGTGTAATGAGTTTCTTTATTCTATAAAAAATTCTATAATTTAGAACAGTGTTAGAAACTTAATTACAAAGTGAATAGTTTAAAAATACCTTGACATTTCTTAAACTTTGTCATTTAGATTGAGTATTACTATTTTATAGTAAAAGGACACATTGCTAGGGTACTATCAGGTGCTTCTTATTCTTCACAGAACAAACAACTCTCAATGAGGAAATTTATTCTTCCAAGAGTCCCTAGGTTGATCTATTAGGTAGCTCCTCATAGCACTAAGAAATAAGAGCCAGTGATGTCCCCTTTTCACAGAAATAGCAACAGCAACAAGGAACCGAGCAGTGTTCTTGGTAAATAAAAATAAATGGTATATTCTATCTCAAACCAAAATTCAAATAGAAAAATAAGCCAACTTTTAGACATAACAACCTTAGACACTCTGTTCAAAAATTTAGCGAGTTCTTATACCGAATGGAAATTGGAGCCTCTTTAATATCCAATTCTTTTTACAACTTCCTGTATGGGACAGGATAATGTTTGGGACAGTCATAGCTATAGTGGAAATGATTACTGAAAAAATTTTCATACAGCAGCTTCAAGGGTTACAACAGAGCTCAAGAATCAGCACTTGAATCAGATTCTTCTTTGGAACAAGAGTGATATTTTTACTTTAAACATTTTTTACCCCTGCCAAGGAGTAATGTCAATTTATAATTAGGGAAATAATTTCGGTTTGTTTGAAAATGAAATACCAAAAAAAAAAAACAAAACCCCAAAATAAAAGTCCTCATCAGGAAATAATAAAATAGCTGGAAAGAGAAGACCGTCCCATACTCAGAAACACATGGTATTGTAGAAGTGTGAATGACAGCTCCCTCTAACAGCTTCGAGATGACCAGCACTTGGTCTTCCTCACATAAACCTTCGGCATATCTGCTGTCTCCCACGCTCAGCTTTCCAGTTTTTCCTACAATTGCAATTCTTCCTTTTTCATAGGATAAGAGCATTTGATTCACACAAATTCAAACTGACCAGGAGACTGCTTCTAGGCTTTATCTTTGGGATTCTGTTCTTGCAACTCGTCTAACAACTTGATGCACAAGGATAGAAAGTATTTTTGCCTGCTGATAAGACTGCCTTTGATTTCATAGATTACGTGGTAGCCTGTTTATAGAATAAACAAAGATAACTCAGAACGCCTATGTTGCCTGTGTTCAGAAAAATTCTCTCTGTTGATGGGGAGAGAAAGAAAACAAGTAACTAAGAAAAATCCCAAACTTTGAAAGGAGTGGATATAAGGTCCCTCCCTAGAGGGGCATGCATTACTTAAATGACTTAGATCCACAGTGTTTTGAGTTCTCAAATGTTTTTTCAAGATTTAAAGAATCCAGAATGGTTATAGTTAGTCTTAGGTCTGGGTTTCATTAATCAAACCTGTAATCAAATACCCACTTGACTTCATTTGGGCTTTAATGGTTGAGTGGTGTTTATAACCAGGTTTACTAGGCATGGAAGCCTCTGGCGGCGGGGGAGGGGCTCACTTCACAAATTCTAGATTTGAGTTAAACAAAAAAGACCCTAGAGGCTAGTTTTATAAAGGTCAACATTATCTTTTTTATGTTGGTAGCACCAAGCTAATGGCAGTTCAATTTTGAAGCCAAGAAGTTATTTCTTGGGGTTTCTGTAAGATTCATTTGTTCCCAGGACCTCCAAAGAATGCCCACTGGTGAGAACTTAGCTACCTGGAGAAGGACCACACTGACACGAAACAGTTAGAGCTAGACGGAAGGGGGCTCGCTCCAGGTCAGGCGCCATGCCCCGCACCACATAGGTGTAATTTCATCTTGGTCCTCACAACAACCCTATGGCACAGACACTACCGTTTTCCTTTTGTAGATGAGGACATGGAGCTTTGGAGAGGTGACGAATTGCCACAAGAGTAAAATATGGCAGCTCTGACATTCAAAAACAGTATATCCTGTATGCTTTTCCAGAATCAATCTTAATGATGCTAATACACAGGAGCAGCTTATGCCTGAAGTATGATTCCCCAAACGAGTGGCAGCTGGTATCATGCACCATCTGTCCGGAAGGCGTGGTCCCTCCAGCCCCCCTGGGCCCTCACACAGGGCCCAGCTCCACAGGAATGTGTCAGTCTTATCTGCTGGGCAACTTGTACCCTGCTCTGAAGGGGGAGGGAGTACAAGGTGGGCCATCAAATCTCCTGAGTTTTGCTGCAGGAAGCTGCAAGCACCCTGATAAAAGCAAAGCAGGGGGGTTTTGGGGCCTCGTATTCAAAATGAAAACAGGGACAAGTGCAAGACGTGTGAGTAAAGAAAAAGGAACAATTTTCCAAGTCAGACCTGACAAATAAAAATTGTTCCAATTCTTAAAAGATACTTTCTTGGAATTAGTGCAATTGCTTTAAAAATGTACTTTCTTTTAATAGAACAGAAATAGTAACAAAGTTGAACTCCACTATGTGGCAGCCTGCTTGACATTGGTTAGGCATTCAAGGGCTGTTTTACAACAAAGTGGAGACTGAAGATGATAGCTGGGATATGTACTTATCATGATATGATTATCACCTTATTTACATAATTCTTTGGTGTGTTGATAGGAATCAGTTGTTAACTCCAAAGGAAAACAGTGATATGGAACATTTTTCAGAACTTAGAGAGACAAGATCATCTCAGTCACCTATACACCCAGCGTGGGGCTCGAACTCATGACCCCAAGATCAAGAGTTGCATGCTCTTCTGACTGAGCCAGCCAGGGGCTCCGAGACAAAGATCACTTCAGAAGAGGTGTTCTAATAGTAGGTCGCAGTTTGCATTATTATCTGTATATGCTTCAAGGCAAGCAAACCACTCCCCCCTATTAATACTGAATGTGACCCTCTCATGATCTTGGCCTTACTATTGGGGTTCGATTAACAGCAAAACTAACGAGACTGGGACAAAAGCCAATCTCTCAAAGGAAACAAATACAAAAATCCCTTATAAGTGTAAGTGTAAGAATGTTGGTGAGCAATCCAAATCCCAAAAATGCGGTAGTTTCAAACTATAACTTTTGGTCACTACTAAACTTTATATTCAGATACTATTACCATGAGGGGCGCCTGGGTGGCTCAGTTGGTTAAGCATCTGCGTTTGGCTTACGTCATGATCTTGGGGTCCTGGGATTGAACCCCACTTCAGGCTCCTGCTCAGCGGGGACTCTGCTTCTCCCTCTCCCTTTGCCCCTACCCCCAGCTTGTGTGCTCTCTCTCTCAAAAAAAAAAAAAAAATCTTTAAAATAATATTATCATAATTCTCAAGAAAACATTAAGTCGGGGGCACCTCGGTGGCACAATTGGTTAAGCATCAGACTCTTGGTTTTGGCTCAGTTTGTGATCTCAGGGCCATGAGATTGAGCCACACACTGGGCTCTGTGCTCAATGCCGAGTGTGCTTAAGATTCTCTCTCCCTCTGCCCCTCCTGCTCATGTGCTCTCTCTCTAAAATAAATAAATAAATCTTAAAAAAAAAGAAAAAGAAAACATTAAGTCTATGTCTTCTGCCCTAAGTAGACTCTGCTAAGAGATCAGCAAATATTATCCGTATAAGAATATTTATAATTGGGGCGCCTGGGTGGCTCAGTTGTCGTCTGCCTTCGGCTCAGGTCACGATTCTAGGGTCCTGGGATCGAGCCCCACATCGGGCTCCCTGCTCTGCAGGAAGCCTGCTTCTCCCTCTCCCACTCCCCCTGCTTGTGTTCCCTCTCTCCCTATCTCTCTCTGTCAAATAAATGGGTAAAATCTTAAAAAAAAAAACAAACAATATTTATAATAAATTTTTAAGTAGAACATTAATGTGTACATGGGAGCAGTTGTAACATTTATGTGTGGGAGGGTGGTAGGAAAGAGAAACCATGTAAGAATTATTTTATTTATTTATTTATTTTATTTTATTTATTTATTTAAAAGATTTTATTTATTTGAGTGAGTGAGAGAGAGAGAGAGAGAGCATGAGCAGGGAGAGGGGCAGAGGGAGAGGGAAAAGCAGACTCTCTGCTGAACAGGGAGCCCGACACGGGGCTCAATCCCAGGACCCGGGGATCATGACCTGAGCCAAAGGCAGATGCTTAACCGACTGAGCCACCCAGGCACCGCAAGAATTATTTTATTTAAAACAACCTTTAAAAAAGTTTTGTTTAAGGTAAAAATGTTAAAATTAATGTTTAATAATATTTTATGAAGTAAAACTTTTCACCTTTCTGTAACCATTTTACCATATATATTTAAAATCAACTTCTCAAAGTATTTCAACAGGGCAAAAGATGGAAGTCTACAAGACGTCTGTCAGTCTGGAGAGAACTGGACAAATCACAAACTGTCAAACCACACCACAGCTTCATGATTTACTGGCCCCCAAATTCCATGGGCTGAGAGATTATGAGGAAGATGCTAGCGTAGCTAATGAGATGAATATCACATCATCAGTAAAACAGGTTATCCCCCACCACCGTGCTGACAACTGGGAACCTATTGGGCATTTCAAAACAGGATGCCACATCATTTTCTTCAGAACATTTGTTTGGGCCTCTCAAAAGGAGAATCATTTGCCTTGAGAAGTCTGTGTGAACATGGATAAGAGCCCTTGGCGTTTCCATTACAAACAAGTTGATGACCGTTATTATGAATTCTGAAGCATTTTTTTTTTAAAGATTTTATTCATTTGATAGAGAGCACAAGTAGGCAGAGTGGCAGGCAGAGGGAGAGGGAGAAGCAGGCTCCCCGCTGAGCAGGGAGCCCGATGCGGGGCTCGATCCCAGGATCCCGGGACCATGACCCGAGCCGAAGGCAGACGCTTAACTGACTGAGCCACCCAGGCGCCCCTGAAGCATTTCCTTTTTGAAGAGAAAACCCAACTTCAAGATTTTCTCCACATACTCAAATCTGGGCCTCCGTTTTGGGCCTAATAATTTTCAAAGCCCTTTAACACCCATTACCTCATTTCTTCCTCACACTTAACCTTTGAGACATCATTCTCTGCATCCGAGAAAACAGAAACCCAACCAGCATACACTGCAGAGTCCAAATACAGACGAAGGTCTAGCTGTTTTCACAAAAGATCCAGAAACACAGATTTATTCCCTTTAAAGGGAGGTGGCTTCTCAAACAGAACGGAGAGCCAGTGGAAATCACAAAGGGCAGAGGATGACCTTCTCAGAGGAGCGCAACACAGTTTCAAATTGATATTAAAAAAAAAAGTATTCAAGAATCTAATCATGAGCCCTTTGGGCTGCAATGTTGTGGTGATATTTTTATGACCCAGAAATGCCTAAGCTGTTGCTGCTGTTCAGATGGCCCACTTACTAAGTGGCGTAAAATGTGTGAAATGGGCGATCTGACTCAGTGCGTAAATATTTCCTAGGATCCATTTTATGAGTGACCTCATTTATATGTGTTATCACCAATGACGAATTGAAAAATAAATTAATTCTACCCCACAGCTAAGCATTAAAACATTTTAAAAATGTCTGGAGTAGTTTCTATTCCAGATGTTGACTTCTTCCCTCCCAAACTGCATTAGTGACATTTTCTCATTCCCGATGACATAGCTTTGGTATTACACACTACACTGAGGGACGTGGGATTATAGGTTGCTTTCAGAAAATGTGTACATACTCTGGACATTTCTAAGCAGCCGTTTCATTGGATTTGCAAAGTGACAGTGTTTCTGTGGTTAATATGGCATTCTTTTTTTCTTCAACCACGAGAACTAGTCTCTTTCATACACCATTCTAAAGATCCTACCTATATTTCCCTAAAATCACTGCTTAAGTTAGTGGATTCAAAAAACACTGCATTCCATAAGAAAGGCAAAAAACCGTACTTTCCCTGAGCTACTTTCTGTGCCTACAAAGCGGTTAATAAATACCAAGTGTCATTCTACCTTAAAGATGTTCTTCCAAGTTAAAATAAGTACTGAATAAAAGAAAATTCATTTCAGCTTTACATATAAAATCAATATGTGAATTTTTTCTGTGTATAATTTTTCCCCAGAATTCAGCTTTTATAGCTTGTAGGCTTTGAGGAAAATGACGAAGCATGAATAACTTAAAAATGAGTAACATGTCCCGAAGAGTTGGGGAGGATTATCAGTGTCTCATCATTGTCTGCTACATGTTTTATCACTTCTACTTCACTGAAACCCACCAGCTGCCCCTCAGCCGAAAGACCCACCAGCACAACGAACAAGGATTTCTGACAGTTTTATTCACGTCTCACATCAATGCTCATTTACTGCCTGTCCTCTGTAGCTTAAAGGCTGTGCTGAGTTCTTTTACAACCTTACTTAATCCTATTGTTACTTTTTTGTACCTGGGGAGGCTGAAGAGATTCAGAGAAACTTCTTTGGAATTCAAACAATGGTTCTCCTGACTCTAGCATGCCATAACTCCCCCCCCCCCGCCTTTATTCCTCTCAATGTGTTATTTTCATTCAATCTAACAGCAGCTTTGACTCTGTCAGAGTATCTGGCTGGGACTGTACACTCCATTACCCTGTTCCGAGTTTCCAGACCATCTGAACATTCTCTGTTTCAGCAATCATATGGTATCGAATATGGAATGGTCTATTTGAGTACCTTCTAGGGCAGTGCCATTTAATGGTAATACTAAACAACAAGATGTTACTTATTATAATTAAAAGGCCTGTGGTTTATAAATGAAGTAAATTACCATAACCATTCACTAATCAAACACCTGACTTAATTAGTAGAACCAACGTGAGCAAAACCCATTTTGATGATAATACCTCATTAAAACAAACAAACAAACAAAAAAAGAAAACACTCAAAACATTTCCATTTACCTGCATAAAGCCTCAATGGCGTCTCTGTCCAAAAAATCATGCTCTCTCTTGACCAAGGAAATATCAATGGGGAAAAGAAGATCTGTAAGAAAAATAAAAACATACATTTATTGAACACCTAAATTCTTGCCAATCTAGCCTAGTTTAGCAGAGGAAAAAAAAAAGTAATTTCTTGAATACCTATTGTGCGCAGGACACCTTACTTTCTATCAAGTGCTATGGGAGAATAAAGCAACTTAGGACAATTCCATCAGTGTCCTCAAGGAGCTTAGATGTAAAGTGGTCTGTACACTCAAATATCCCTTCTTGTCACGGAAGTGGTTCAAACCACTGTTCCACCTTGAAACAAATGAGCAGGCAACAGATCCCTGCTGTAAATTATAGTTTCAGCCAGAATCAACACCAGAAGGATGCTTCCTTTCAATGGGGTGGTGGTTGTTGTTCTGTTGTCTTTCCATGTGTGTCTGCTCACATTTGGTCAGGGGAAGAGGTCACGGAAAACTGAGCCAAGGCAAGGTCTACAGAACAATGGCAAGTGGTAGGAAATGGAATCTAACCATTTGCATGACATCAAAAGCTAAAGAGAATTCAGGATATGCTATTTTTAAACAAATATTAGCACTTCCATATGGCTTTTCAGGAGTTTATATAACTCCCCCCCCAAAACAAAAGGCCAGCTACAAAGCTGCTGGAGAACAATGGGATCCCAAATCCCTTAATCTGCAGGAGAGTTCAATACTCTTAGAATACTAGGAGTTATATCAGAACTTAAAAGGAGAAAGGGGGAAAAAGTCAACTCAATAGAAGAATTCCCTTTTTATCCCTTTTTGATAAATACATTCAAGAAGAGGCGAGAGAGACCCACAGCACCACTGTGGAAATTTACAACAGCTCTGGAATTGCCACTAGATAAAAACAATTTACCCTCTTTGGAGTTCCAGCTATTAGGGTATGATTGGTCTTTCCTGTAGAATGCTTACATAATATGATGAGTAAGAGTTTCTTCTGTGCAACTCTGTAGGTCAGGAATGGGCAAAATAAATCAGCAAAGCAGGAAACTGGGATTACCATAACCAAACAAAAACAAAACAAAATAAAACAAAAAAACAACCCCATGGCCTCTGAAATGGCTAATGCTTTATACTGGGACGGACAGGGCTCTCAGGAGATGCAAGTGATTAGTCATGTTCTAGTTCTTGGGTTGACTGTGATGTTTTCAGGGCTTCCAACTTCCAGTCACTGGTTTCACAGAATGGAGCTCCTTATTCTTAACAATCTATTTGCTAGAGATAATGGTTAAAAGTACCTTTTTTTTTTTTTTAATGTTGGAAAGAACATAGTGTTATAGTCCAATTCTTTTTTCTGAAGGCATAGAGTTAGATTACCTTAATCGTTCCCTGAACAACGTAGGCAGACCAATGAGGCAGCCCATGATTTACGAAGAAATATGTGAAACTCAGTATTGCAGGAATTTATCTCTTCATTATTTGACAGACCAACTCTATAGGCTTATAGTGAATGTCAGCTATTAGTAAATACGGCGGACTGTAAAACTGTTTGAAGGTAGTCACACTTTATTTCACTTTGAGCAGACATCAAGAACTTTTAAGTATTAAATAACAGAGCTGACATTAAAGAATATATTTTAATACTTCCAGAGGGTAACGCCAGATCTATGAATGTAAATGAAAAGCTCACGTCTGTTATGTGTATAGGAGACCATGACTGTGTTATTTTAACAATTCTAACTTCATGTACCCAGAACTGTACTTTAGATTCCTATCCGATCCAAATTAACTTTCAGATTCTGTTAAAACAAACACACACACACACACAAAATCTAGGGTAGGTAGGGACCAAATATAAGAGAAGTGAAATAATTAAATAAATTTCTCTTATTTGCCTTGACTCTTCTGAAAGGACCAGCTTTTAACAGATATGATTTATTGATGAATAGAAGTTCTCAGAGTTCTTCAGGTCAGGATTTAATCTTCCAGCTTGAGTGTAAGAGCAGGAAATATAAATTGCCAAAGACCAAAATAAAGCAAAACAGGAAGACAAGGAATGTGTGCGTTGGTGTATAGTGTGTGTATACTCACCCTACAGAGGGGCAGGATGAAGGGCAGAAATTAGCGTCCAGAACAATATACAGTATATATCCCCCAAACAGGCTTATGCTTCAAAAGACTTGTAAATGAAAGGACCACAAACACATCCCGTGAAAATGCAGTCTGAATTTTAGGATTTACTAAGAAATAAGATAGAGACTGGAAATGAGTCTTAGCAAACATACACTCATAAGAAAGTGCTGCTTGGCATTAAATCAACACCAAAAATGAACATAATTGAAGGAAATTTAATTTCTAAACAGGAGAACAAAAGGAACAGCAGGACAGCCACCTTACTGCCCCTGCAAATGTAATTATCTTTCCCTATCTCCCGTGGAGTGTGAATTGAATGCGATAGAATGGTGGCCCCTCCCCAGCCCTCCCCACCTCCAAGCCCTTCTGAAAGACAGAGATACTGTAAATGTTAATAGGTCAGAAATCCCCTCTAAAGGAAAGATAAGCAACTCCATCATAATAAGCACACAGGTTAACCAAGTACCTTAAAAAAAAAAGGAAAAAAAGAAAAAGAAAAAGAGAGAGAAACAAGAAAAAAAAAGGAATTGGAAATATTCTCTATAATGTAGGAATAATAAGATCTTTTACACAGTATAGCAATAAAATAATTCTGAATCCAACTTCATGGGAAAGTATCGCACATTCAGTCTGGGCTACAGTGAGGAATTGTTACCTACAATTAGGTAATGGATTAATTTAGCTGAGTGAGCTAGGAAAATAAAAATGATCTCAATGGTCTCTCTGCCTGATTTGCTTCTGGGGAGTACCCACCCGCCCACTCCATACCCCTCCTCAAGGCAACCCACTGATCCTGTCTAGCACTTCCAAGCTTACGAACTATACCCACTCTTAGCACCGGCTTTTTGCTCATGTGTTTAAAGAAGGTTGGCAATGACCACGAGCTCCACCACAGAGCCCAATGCCACTGTTACAGGAAGAAGTCTGTTATTATCCTAGAAGAAGAGAAGTATAAAAGACATGATTTTAAAACTATTTATCATGAGAAGAGTTGAACATCTTTGGTGAAAATATTTAAGTGACATCATTTCATATGAATCTTTTAGAAATTTTGTCATGTGGTGGCTATGTCTTAGCATCCCATTCCTTCTTAAGTGATGAAAGAGATTATTTTTAAAATGTAATCAACCAAAACTATGTTTGTTTTTTGAGATTCTGGAAGTCCCCTAAAGGTCTTATTGGCTGTTGGAATTATGTTTTTATTTTATAAAATATGTAGCATTTACCACAGTGTTGGGCATCCCTGGTGGTGTAGAATTAATAGTGGCTTGTTGGTTAGTTGAATGGATGGGATGGGTGGATGAATGAATGAATGAATGAATGAGAGACATCTAGTATCTCTAGTATTAGGGAAACAGAATGCTCAAGGTAGAAGCAGCTCCAGAAATCATTTAACTTATTCTCAATTTAGGAATCACTTCACTATTCACCCAAACTTTGCTTGCAAATTACCCACAAAAATGGAGTTCACTGGTTCATAACTAGAATTCTTTTTAAATGACATCGTGTAGAGTATGATAAAAATCCCACATAAATGAACAGCTTATTCATCTCGCCATGTGCATGGCACGCTCTACCCACACTGAGCAGGTAGAGGCTCAGGATGCGCCCCGCCTGAGGAGCTCTCTACCCTCAGCCACAGCATTCGAGTGACCCCCAGGGCACTGATGACAAAATGAAGGAGTATAAATTCAGCCTAGATCTTCATTTTTTTTTTTTAAGGTCCATTTTCCTTAAGTTAAAAATTTGGATGCCACAGGAAAAATAATATTCATCAAATGACAATCTAAACAAAGGTAAAAAGCCTAATTACAACCCAGGGGAATGTATCTGCAACATATGATCCATAAAAGTTTACTATTTAGAATAAAGAGCTCTTAGAAATCATTACGAAAAGTGCAATCAACTCATGAGAAAAATGGGCAACAGACATCTCACAGAAGAGCAAATACGTATTTCTAGATGATATCAAGAAATGAGCATTATCATTCATGATTAGGGAAATGGAAGTCAAAATATATCCATGTGATTGGCAAAAATTAAAGCTTGACAATATCAAGTGTTGAGAGCATGTGAACAGACAGGATCTTTATATATTACTGGTGGGGGTGAAAATCTGTACAGGCACTTTTGAAAAATCTGCATTATAAAACTGAACATACGTGTTCTCTGTTACCCAGTAATTCTGCTCCTCAGTATACAGACAAGACAAATTATTGCAGATGTCCCACGAGAGTACAAAACTGTACAAGAGTGTTCTTAAGCCTACAGTATATAAAAGCAAAACAGATAAAGCCAAAGTGCCCACCAATCAGAGTGTGAATGTGAATAAACTGTGGTCTACCACACAACGGGCTATCACATAGCACTCAAAGCAAGTGATCCAGAGGGAGACATAGTATAGAAGAATCTTAATATATGTATCAGAAGAAGTGAAGAAAACTAAGTCTTACAAGATTATATAGAGCATAATACCCATTTTATAAGGGTAAAAGCAACTTTATAAAAATATATATATTAGGAAAATGCCATAAAACTATATAAAAGGAAAGCAAGAAAATGACAAACAGAAGTTTCAGAATGAGTTGCTTTGGGTAGGGAGTGGCAGAGGGACCTAATGGGTGCATTATTATCAAGGTCCTAGTTTTTTGTTTTGAGTGGTGGGGGTCTTAGGACTTGCTACATTGTTTTCTTAATGAAATATTTTAATAAGTAATAAAATGTCTGAAAATAAATCATAGATCAGTAATATCATGAACCAAGGATATGAATATGCCAATTAAAAAACCCCCAGCATTCGCCACTCACCTTCATAAAGCTGCGCATACTGGGGGAAACCAGTTGCCCGTAGCCAATCACAAGCTTCCTTGGCTTCAATTTCTGTAACAGAACCAAAGAAAGACAGACATGTCAGTCATGTGCACCTCAGCATGCTTTCTTCCTTAACAAACTCTGATTTTGTTAGATAAGCAAAATATGTCTGTTGACAATGGATAAGCAAAATAAATAAATACACATATGCCTATATAAAGACTTAATTCAAATGGTTTAAAATATGGTGCACCTTTTCAGACTGTAAAAAAATGCATTTTTATCTATCTTTCCTTGAAAAATAAAAATGGGGTCCTAGCAGTAGGTGATTCTGTGCTGCTTCTGTGTTCTGGTTACAAAGGATTATGAAAATAGGGCATATTGAGCAGGTTGAAGAGGGATTAAATAATTTTAAGCCTCGATGGTCTAACCTGGTTTACTTTTCACATCATGAAAAGGCCACCAAAGACAGGTGACACCCTGGAAGAGAACTAACCTGACCAAGCGAACAGACCTTCTGTTCCACCCCCACACCACCTCCCCGGGATGCACAGAAAAGGCCCAGGTGCGGTGCCAATGTGCCTTTAGGTGCATCCAGCAGTAGAGACCCAGGCTGTCAGGTAACCCAGAGGGCATTAAGTCAATAAATTCCACGATCCTGGCAGACTGCAATGCCTAATAAAGCCCTACTTCCCTGTGGTTAACATCTTGTAGATAGTATTGATAAACAGCAAGGCCAAGGGCAACTGACACACTGTGTTCCAACTCACTCAAGCACGTATTTACGATCCCGTTAAAACTGACTCACAGAGGAGGTCTGGGGCACATTCATTAGTTTCTCTGCTTGCACAAAGAATATTCTTTCAACTCTTCTTCCCACCTTCCACAGGCCATTAGAGTACTTAGGTATGTAAGGTGATTCACTCATTTATAAATGTCTCAACATTGCTTAATTTATTCCAGATTCAAATCTTCATTAGGCTTCTCTCCTCTGAGCCAGATGGAAGCAGATAATCCATATTAGGAGAAGTACCCATAGCTTACTTTTGTTTAGTAACTTCACAGTTTCAAAGCATTTTTTTTCCCTATTATTTCGTGAGTCCCTTGGCCTATAAAGAAAGGTAATTAAGAAGACCCGAATTCATTAAAGCAAGTAGGGTTGTCCTTATGGAGCATCTGAAGAGAAAAACAACCTGCTGTCTTCTGATGAGTTAGTTAATACCCAAACTAAAAACAGCGAAAGCACTAGAGTGGAAATAAATGGCATGGCTAAGTTGATTTTCACAAATTTTTTCAGTGTGGCGATAAAAGCAGCATTTTTAAAAACACGAGATTCAGGAGTGAATTTGGAGTTGGAGGATAAAGTGACAGACATGTGGAAGAACCTCAATGTTTGCGCTGAATAAAGGAATATATAGAATTGTCCAGTGTGAATCAACTGTACTTAACAGTTTTTTCATGTATTAATATGCACACCTTGTGTCAGAAAGGAATTAAAGCAGCCTTACATAAAATCATAAACATTTTCTAGAAAACTGTATTGCTGGAAAAACATATTTTTTCTCTATCTCTGTGGCCCCTGCTCAAAGACAGACACGGAAAGAAAAAAAGCTAAGTGCTTGTTTAAAAAAAAATATTTTAAATGACTCGCTCCTCCTGACTATTTAGAGGTTATTTCCGTGGAACAGACTGTTAGACTCCAAACAATAGATTGTTCAAAAGTAGTGGTGAGTAACCAGAAATTCTCAATGTGCACTTGTTTTTGACTGTCTTCAGACATGACATTGGACCAGCATACACACTAAAGCCTTAATTAGACATACTTCACCAGCCAGTATTGCCACCTTTTTCAGAGCATGTTCCTGATTTTCTGATTAAAATGGCTTCTTGCCAAGAGGCACGTAAGAATGCAACGTATTTTTCTAAAAAAACTTTACATTTATTTATATAGTACTTTACAAATTACCAAGTGCTCTCATATATATTGCTCGTTTAAGGCCCCGAGTGAGTTCAGGAGCCCATAAATGCATATTGCTGAATTGTCATTCTCTTACTTTCCAACACTAAGGAAATGAAAAGCTCCCAAATGACCACAAATTCGTTTAGAAAGCTGTGTCCAAATAGCCACTCTGCTCAGGGCCCTTGGTTAGAAATAAATGGATGTGAACAGGCAAAGGTTTGCATCTTCAGCAGATAATCTAATTAAAGGCTTACAATGGCTAAAAAGCAGTATTTTCAAGAACTGCGAGATCCAGAAATTTTACCTTCCTTTTCCTTACCCTAAAACAGATGAAAATGTGTCTTTCTTTTAGATGTGAAACCATGGGAAATAGGCAAGTCTGTCAGTATCTACTTGAAATTTAAGTGCCCACTCATGAAAACTTGGGCTGCATAACAAATGAAAACTTAACACACTGTTTCTGTAGAAATCAGAATGAGAACATTGGTAAAACTATAAAAAGTTGTCACTGATTTTTTAAAAAACGGAATTATTGACTTCATTCCTACCCCCTTCCGATTACCGAGAGAAAATGGTAATAACAATCCAATGTAAGTACTGATTTTTAACAAATCAGTATTTTCATTTTATTTAACATGAAATGAACCTATGTCTATAGATTAGTCGGGTAGAGAACACCCCTTCTAGTTTTACTACCCCACCCCCAATCCAAGCCATTACTTTCCTTCTTGTCTCCCAACTAAAATTCCACGTCTCCAATTCTCTCCTCTCTCAGAGAAACCATCCACCAGTCCTGGCTCATCACACCTCCAAAAGTACAGCCTTGATCTTCTCTCTCCCTCATAAACTTCACTAGAGCCCCACTGCTTGGAAAATCGCGTCTAAACACCTCCTGCATGGTTTTCTGGGCTCTCCATGAGGCACACAACCTAATTTTTCAGTTACCTGTTCTCACTCTACTTCCCAAAGTAAGCTCAATGCTCATCTCCCCATATACCACCGTGACTTCCTGGCATGAAATGCTCTCCCATCTTCTCAGTGTCAAATTCCCCTCATCCTTCAAGGTCCATCCCAAATGTTGCCTCCTCTAGGCAGACCTCCCAGATTCCTCCTGACAAGTCTATCAATGCTAACTTTTATTGTGTGCTTACTATGTGCAAGCACCTGTCTAAGCACTTAAGGCATATTAATTCATTTACTTTTCACATTGATCCTAAAACGTGGGTTACTAATATCCCCAAGATACAGAGATGAGGAAACAAGCAGAGAAATAACTTTTTTAAAAAAGATTATTTATTTATTTGACAGAGGGAGACACAGTGAGAGAGGGAACACAAGCAGGGGGAGCGGGAGAGGGAGAAGCAGACTTCCCGCCAAGCAGGGAGCCCGATGCGGGGCTCGATCTCAGGACGCTGGGATCTTGACCTGAGCTGAAGGCAGACGCTTAATGACTGAGCTTTTCTTTACATTCAAATGCCATAGTGGACAGAGAACTAAGACTCATAGAAATGAACAAGACAGGGGCTCCTGGGTGGCTCAGTCAGTTAAGCGTCTGACTCTTGATTTCGGCTCAGGTCATGATCTCAGGGCTGTGAGACAGAGCCCCGTGTTGGGCTCTGCACTGGGCAGGGAGCCTGCTTAAGATTCTTTCTCTCTCTCCCTCTGCCCCCCCCCCGCCAAAAAAAAACAAAGAAATGAGCAAGACAAGTTCTTCACTTAAAAAATACATAACAATGAGTGACATTTAAAATATTAAAACCATGGACACATTGCATTACCTCAGTCACTAAATCTACCGTGGCTATTTTTGGAGGCCTCTAACTGGCTCTAAAGGTTTGACTTTTCCTTCAGGACATGCAACTATGAGGATTAGTTTTTAAAAACATTCTCCATCAGGCAAAAATGCCACCAGAAACTAAAAGTACAAGGGAAATACAGTGTCACTCTAATGCCTGGGTTTTCTCTGAGCAAACAACAGACAAATGTGTTAAGGAGGAAACAGGAAATATTTATTGGAAACAGCTTTAGTGGTTAGTTGTATAAGATGAATGAGGTCCAGGAGGCCCTTCTGTGTAAGGCTGGGAACCGTCAGTCCGTATTTGCACATTTCCTGGCATGATGGGATGACCCTATCTTCCCTTTCCCCCTCAACAATGAATTAAACAGAAATCCCCCAACCTTGTCATCATTCTGTTGAACCTGCTGATCTCAACCAGTTGAGCAACAGTAACTGGGTCCAAGCGGGATGTGATTACTTCCATCTTCTGTGTACCCTATCTGCCCAGTGGGAACCATCAGGCTCTCTGCCTTCTTTGACAACATGCTACCAAAATCAGGACTCAAGGCAAATGCCATAGCTACATGGAATGTATCGCTTAAATAAAAGTCTAAGGAATTGGAGGAATGCAAGAAAATCCCAGATTCCTTGGATTCCCCCCAAAATGACAGACCCGTGGCCAAAGACCCACGGAAATGTCGATCGATGCTTTTACAACCACGAAGTACATTTGCTATGTGAAGGCAGGTGGTATTTTCTGATCCAAAACAAAACTCATTTCTCTCCCCTGGTCACACAGATTCCCTCCAATGGAAGAAGATTCTTCTTACCAATTTTCCAGCCTCCACTGAGGTGGCCAATTTACAGACCTGTTGTGCAGCTGGGCACCAACAGCCCATCTGACCCTGGTAGGCGGGCTTCACTGGGCAGCCCATTGGAGAAGCAAACCATGGCTTCAAAACCTTGATCTCAGGGGCTCTCAGCCCTGTATGCGGTAGGCATCACGTGGGAAGAGTTTTCTAAAACCACCAACCACACCACCCACTTCCAGGCATCTGGATTTTCTCAGTCTAGGGAGGACCCAGGCAGTGTCTTTAAAAAAAAAAAAAAAAGCTCTCTAGGTAAATTTAAGGATAGCCAGGATTGAGAACCATGGAGCCAGGCAACATTTCTCTGTATTCTTGCATCGGGAACTCTTTCTCCCCAGATTACCTTAAGAGTCTCCCAAATGAATTCTGTGATAAGCTTTGCTCCTCACTGCTCACAACAAATCTGTCCTAGTCCAAGAGTCCCTGAGCCCCCGGATTTGCTTTTATGAAGTGCATGATTCAT